AAAAAAAAAAAAAAAGAGAGAGAGAGAACCCACAGACTGAGAACATTTTTTTGGCAATGACATACCAGCCAAGGAATTAGTTTCTAAAACCAATAGAAAATTTCAATATCTCATCAATAAAAAACATGACTAATCTAATTAAAATGGTGGTGAATATCAGCTGATACTCATCTAAGAAGACATTCAGGTAGCCAATGAACATGTGAAGAAATATTCTCCACTATGAGCAATTTAAGACATGCAAATCAAAACAACGATGAGGCACTACCTTTCCCTAGCATTGACATCAACATTTAAAAACAAACAAACACAAATAACAGAACACAACAAAGGCTGGAAAGGGGGATAAGATACTGGAATCCTCAGACACTGTTGGTGGGATAGTGATATGGCACTTCCTAAACATTTGGGAATAGAGAAAGTACATTTTTTTTAAAAAACCATTCTATTGGGGCTCGTACAACTCTTATCACAATCTATACATGCATCTATTGTGTCAAAACATTCGTACATTTGTTGCCCTCATCATTCTCAAAACATTTGCTCTCTACTTAAGCCCCTGGCATCAGTTCCTAATTTTTCCCCCTTCCTCCCCACTCCACCCTCCCTCATGAACTCTTGATAATTTATATATTATTATTATTTTGTCATATCTTAGTCTGATGTCTCCCTTCACCCACTTTTATTTTGTCCATTTCCCAGGGAGGAGGTTACATGTAGATCCTTGTAATTGGTTCCCCCTTTCTACGCCACCTTCCCTCCACCCTCCCGGTATTGCCACTCTCACCACTGGTCCTGAAGGGCTCATCTGTCCTGGATTCCCTGTGTTTCCAGTTCCTACATGTACCAGTGTACATCTTCTGATCTAGCCAGATTTATAAGGTAGAAATTGGATCATGATAGTTGCGGGGGGGGGGCTTTAAAAACTAGAGAAAAGTTGTACGCTTCATCGTTGCTACACTGCATCCTGACTGGCTCATCTCCTCCCAGTGACCCTTCTGTAAGGGAGTGTCCAGTTGCCTATAGATGGGCTTTGGGTCTCCGCTCTGCACTCCCCCTTATTTACAATGATATGATTTTTGTACTTTGATGCCTGCTACCTGATCCCTTCGACACCTCATGACCACACAGGCTGGTGTGCTTCTTCCATGTGGGCTTTGTTGCTTCTGACCTAGTTGCCTGCTTGTTTACTGCAAGCCATTAAGACCCCAGACGCTATATTTTTGGATAGCTGGGCACCATCAGCTTTCTTCACCACATTTGCTTATGCACCCACTTTGTCTTCAGCGAAAGTGTCAGGAACGTGTGCATCGTGGAATGCCAATTTAATAGAATAAAGTGTTCATGCATTGAGTAAGTACTTGAGTGGAGGTCCAAAGTCCACCTGCTGCCTTAATACTAAACCTATACGTATATATGCACATAGATCTATTTCCCCATCATCCTATATAAATATATTTACATATGTACATGCCTTTATTTAGACCTCTATAAATTCCCTTTGCCCCCTAGTTCTTTCCTCCATTTCCTTTTACTTTCCTCTTGTCCCACTATCATGCTAAGCCTTCATTTGGATTTCAGTCATTTCTCTCAGTTACACTGCTCTTGCTGAATCCCCACCAGGCCTCTGACACCCTCCTTGCCACCAATTTTGGATCATGTGTTGCTCCCTTGTCCCTGGTTTGTCAGCACCACCTCCTGAGGAAGTAAATCCCGAAAGGAATAGCTGGCCTTAACTTTCTCCAACAGAGTCGCTAGTGGGTACGAATCACCGACCTTGTAGCTTACAACCCAATGTTTATCTGGAAGCACCATTGGTGTGCCTTTCACTCAAAAGCCTGAACATTCATGTACTATATTAGCTTTTCCAAAATCAACAAGAACTAGAAAAAAACAAAACCTACCAGATCGTGTTACTACAGCTCTTATTGCCATAGTTTCTGAAACTCCCACCAAATAACTTTTCTCTGATGGGTCTGGATAAGAAGGCAGAGGAAGATACTGATTGCATTGTTTGTGAATTCTGTGTGGCCGTTGCCATGAGTTATAGTAAGAGTCCAACTCTTGCCTAACTAAGGCAATTTTGCTTCTGTAAATATTGTCCGTAACTTACCATATAACAGGCCGGTCTTGCTGGAAAATTACTAACAAAGCAGATGTCTCAACAGAACACCAGATACCGCAGC